AAATCGTGGAGAGGGGAAAGAACTTCAATCCTGGATGTAGAATAGCAAGTCAACACTACGACATGGCCTCTGACGATTTAGTAAGTTCCTAACGACTTACTAATGAGTCATGGGCGCAAAAATGGCATTATACAATGGCGGACTCAGTACTTAAGTAATTTCCCTTACCAGCAATTTCACGATTATGGTCTTAGCTAATACTCACTTAGATCATGGAATGTTAGAAAGATCAGAAAAAATGCCAGAAAAGCGATGTGTAGAAAGCATTTGTTTAGGAAAGTCCCGACCAGCCTGCACTACATGAATCTACGAATCGGCCAGCTGTCAATATCCCTATTCCAAACAACTGCTCATTGCATGTTATTTATTTCTATCAACAGGTTATTATACCCAAACCTCACACGAACAAGTGGATTCACCAAAAGATTTGAATGTTTCTTTTTTTCTCTAAATATATTAATAGCTCTGTACAAGCTAAGAAGTGTGAGGCACGGACATTACGAATTCCTATAATTTCATAATTTTGATGCAGTCGAAGTTAAGAAGGTGCGTGCATAGGTTAACGGCAACGCGGTCACCGAGATTTATTTGCCAATTGATGGAGAGAATTGGAAATTGGAAGTGTGATCGAAAACACGAAGACGGTCGTGTTGAAGGTGCACACCTTTATTAACCCTTTACGACAATGCGGATTTGCACGTAGCTTGCTCGTGGGACCACGCCTGTTTTTGGCGCGCCCAACTCTCGCTCAAAATTAGGCAAAATTGTCCTTAAAGCAAAGCAATTTCTGTAGAATTTTTGACTCTAACAGTATACCAGTATAACTGCAGTTCTAGGCTTTCATACTGTATTATTTTCAAGAGAATTCCAAATTTGGACGGGGAACTCGCGTTTCAAAGGGAAGGAGGGCAAAACCTTTAAAAGTTTAAGTGTCCAAGAGAATTTCCGGTACACTTCAAACCCCTTCCTGTATCTGAGGCTATGAGAAGACGAAGAAGTCCTGATTCCTAATAATTTGAAACCTCAATTAATATGGTGGCGAGCTAAACGCCACATTCTCTTCATTCTATATACGAAGTGGAATAGTTTGCAGTGGCACTGCTTCTACTGAGTTCACCCGTTATCGTTATTCCGTGTGCAAGTATTAAGGTCAGAACGGGTCTGCATCTCGCTCCATATACCCTTTCACTCGATATCTGTTTCCATGTCCTCGCACCTAGTGTTTTTTCATGCAATTTCGAAAAAAAAGAGCCTCGTTTCAGACCTTTAGGATGGGTCTTGTTTTTTTTTCTACCCAGCCGAGTCAGTGAGCATCCACAATTTTACTTTGGCTTACTTTTCATATTCAAAGAATGTGCCTCCTAAAGCTGAGAGTGCATGAGGTGCCATCGAAAAGAACTCATATTCCCTTAAATGGAGTAATCAGCTTTTGCTAAGCTACAACCGTAGGCACTCAACCGAATATTGAGATGCACACTCCAGCCAGGGTCAACCGTCCGTTGGACAAAGTCCAACGGACGGTTGACCCTGGCTGGAGTGTGCATCTCAATATATATATATATATATATATATATTATATATATATATATAATATATTATATTATATATATATATATATATTATATATTATATATATATATATTATATTATATATATTATATATTATATATATATTATATTATATTATATATATTATATATATTATATATATATATATATATATATATATTATATTATATATATATATTATATATATATATATATATATATATATATATATATATATATATATATATATATATATATATATATATATATATATATATATATATATATATATATATATATATATATATATATATATATATATATTATATATATATATATATATATATTATATATATATATATTATATTATATTATATATATATTATATATATATTATATATTTATATATTATATATATATATATATTATATTATTATATAATATATTATATATATATATATATATATATATATATATTCGTATATATGTATTGAGATAGCTAAGACGGTCGAGTAACTGCGAGAGGTAGAACGGTACACAACGGAGACCGCAGACGGCTCGCGGGCGCGATCGTCGGAGAGTGGAATGGCCGGCCGCGAGCGAGCGGTGAAAATCGGGATCCAACGTCGCGGGTACCAATATCGCCGTCCAAACGTTACCGGGTTGTCCCCTCGCACTCCAGCGCTTCAAGCTAACAAAGCTCGGTAAATTACTCTTCTTACCTTACAATGTCGAGCAATGGTTTCGCTTTCTACCCGAGGGGGCAAGAAAGCGAGATTTTAAACGATAAAAAGAATGGTTATGCCGTTTGAACTCAGCGGAGGGAACGTGCGACCGCGGTGTGATGTTCGCGGTAAATCGACTTTCTCGGAGGTTTCACAGATGCTGCGGGTTGTGATACCAAGAGCTTTTCGCAGGAGCGGGACTAGAACCGCACCTCTTTTTTTTCCTTTTTCCTTTTCTTGTTGAAATGTTGATGGTACCAATTTTCAAAAGGTTTTCCGCTTTTCGGAGGGTATCTTGCATATTCACTGTTCTGTCTCGAAGAAGCGTGCCCGTTTGCGTATCAATGAATCTCGATATTTCTTCTTAGTAATTAGATGTTCAGAATATCTACCATCTATATTATTCGAGGCTAATGGCGGTTCGTGAGTGTGTGTGGCGGCCCACCGGCGAGTGAATAAAGTCGTCTGCATGTGGTCTGACTCGGAAATTCAGGTTAAACTTCCCCTTTGCCAGGCGCTCAAATGCCTAGGTATAGTGAAGGGCGGAGCGGCACACTGATTAGGGGTGGGGGAATGGGATTAACTATGCTAGATAACGGACGTCGAATGTTGATGGTACCAATTTCGTTGCACCGTTCGCGTTGACAGTGGAGAGTTTGCACTCATGTATGATATGTGGGGTGAGGCGGGGACCAAGAAGTTGAGTGAACGAATGTGGTAGCAACTGATAAGAACTGATAAGGGGCGTCAAAGTGTGGATACCACCAGTTTCGTTGCGGCCCTTGCGGTTACATTGAAACCTTGGCTCTCACATGTGGTATAGGGGATAAGAAGAATATACGAATAAGGAAGTTAGGATTTTGAGTACTGCTAATTTCGTTGCAGCCTTCGTGGTGACAGTAAATATTAGCTCCTACACGTTGCGTGGAGGTTGGGACCGGGACACCGATTGCGAACAGTATGAACTGATAACAAATGACAAGGAATGATAAGAGCGTTTGAATGCAGGTCTCTCCAACTTCGTTGCAATTATCACTGGCAAGCGATCAAGGTGGCGAGGGTTGAATGTAGGTGACAGAAAGTGGTATGAGCGGCAACTGTACTGATAAAAGTAGCGACAGTTGAGCGTGCACTCAATTGAACTAAACCAGGTCCCTAGCACGTGAATATGTTCCATTCCTACCCTTTCATCTAAAGAAGCAAAGAAAGTTGAGCTGCTCAACTTGGACCAATAGCGAATTTCCATTATATTATTTCCAATTTCCATCATAGCTCGGTTAGATGCTGATTGATTGGTTATATATTCACTTACACACCGATTCTTCAATTGTGGAAATTCTATAAACCGCTAAATCATCCGAGCTCGATATCAATGCTAAATGTTTACGAAGTCATGATAAGTACCATTTCATTCCGCATGCTACTGCGCGCATTACGCGACAATCTTCAGCAAAATTGGACAGCCTTTGAAATTCATGTGACACATCTTCCAAACATCTTACTGTTAGTTTCTCAGCCACGTGACCTAATATTCTGCAAGTTGTCCAGTTTCACTAAAGCCTACCATGTGATGCGCGCGGTTGCGTGCGGAGCTAAACTGGTTCAGCTTATACCCGACATTGTCAATACAGTTTATTCGGCGGACGTTTCAGCAATATCGTGTTCTTCAAAACCAGGAACTATAACAGGCATTCTAAAAACTGCCGTCCAAACACTATCTCAACCTACAGAAGTCAATTGGATCGTAGCCTACTTAGGCGATGTCTTTAGGAAGCTCTCCTTCAGTCACCTGATGAGAGAAAGTACTTTGCAGCCTCAGGCTGCTGCGATTATGGTAGGTCGCCGCGAGCTGGAAGGTTACGGCGGAAGACGTTATATTCTCAATACTGTGAAGGCAGGGCGTCTGGGTGCAATCTAAGAAATGTTGTGCTGCAAAACTTCCATTAACAGCGGCGGACACCCTGTACTACGGAATATTTGGTGATGTGCGTCATGAACAGAGTAGCTTTCCCCTCCCTCCCTTTTACACTATTAATCTTCAATGTGTAAGTTGAGCTAAAAGCTGTCCAACGATCAACAAAGCACTAACCCTTGGGAGAGCTCGAATAAGGTAGCGCAGCTAAAGTTGTCTGAAAAGTCGATCAAATGATGAAAATCAAGATCTGAAATATAATAACAACATGAAGAGAGTCTATCTTCATTACCATAATAGCGCATGTTTAAGAGGAGTGGGGAGATCAAAGGAAGGGTGACCCGTTGAGGATACTGGCTATGACGTAAATGCACTTTAGAGTGGAAACCTTTTCTCCCGTATATTCGAGTTCAATGTACAAACTTGTTGATGCTTCATGATCTTTTCTAAAATATTCAATTAGGCTTCGGAGCAGTGCAACGATCCATCAGCGATCCTGATAAAAAAAAGCAATACCTGACCCTTCTGACTTCAGCTTCAGCTGAACTGGCTTGAAATTTTTTTTGCAGGTTCATGGCTATCACGTTTCCGATCCGGTACTACAAGACTAATACAAAAAACAGCGTCTTCGTTTTCATTGCGTTCATCATTATGCCCTTTTCAGCAATATTTTTCATAGGTGATTTTCTCCTATGTTCCCATAGACTGTCAAAAATCTTGTAAAATTTTAGATGGCTGTGACTTATACTATGATCACACTGCTTCTATGTGGTTGTATGGGACTGAGCCATGTGCTCGATTCCTTGCTGGCGTTGACATCTACTACAACGCCTGTTTAATAGCTATGTTATCTGCTACTGATGTTGTCACCATGTTGCAACTGAAACTAAGACGAGTAAGATATTTGAGATTCCTTAGGGAATAGAGACTTTGTTTACGCGTGACCACTAAAAAATATTGACTGCGGGTTGGCGCAAGAATTCACTGCGAGATGGTTCCCAGAACTGAAATCGAATTATAAGCGCTTACATTATGTCGCAATTGTAAGCAAAGTCGTGCGCCGTCGATTTTTCGATTTCTCCACCCATTGGTTCGGAAGTGCACACGTCTACAGTCTGTCGACGTAAATGTCAAGACGGTCTTGAACAAGTCATCCTTCCTGTCTATGGGGAGCCTGAAAACAGTTTGAAGGTGAGAGTCGTTATCCTACTGAAACCCTACCCATTTCATTAGATTTTTCTTCCCCATTATCTTCCAAAGATTCGAGAGTCGATACTTAATACATCGGTGTGCAAAACTTGAAGGAAGTAACTTTTGCATGATATCTTTTTGCTAGCTAACCTAGGTCGATGAAATTTACCACATACACAGAAGGGAATGTTGTAGTACAGTGCAGAGAGTTACTGACAGATTCACGCAATGGGAGGTGCTCTTTTCGAAGACAGTAACTAAAGCGATTGATGGGTGAAGGCACTCCAAATCGCGGTAAACTTTCACAAAATCGAGTGTGCTTCTTGTGTATGAACACAGCGGACTGCGGAGCATGCCTCGTTACGTGCCGTGCTCGCATACTGACCACATGGTTGGTTAAGAGTTTTTGTGAAGAAGCGACGCTTTCCTCCGAGCCACCGATTGACAATTGCTGGACAGTTATAGGTGCACAACGGTGCTCTATGATCGTCTTCCTAAATGCATGCCATTCATGCTCTATAGGATTTGTGAGTGGGGAAGCGGAGAGGCTCAACCAATCGCCGAAAGCTCACGTTCCGAAAGTTTTTCCTCTAGGTTGCTCGATGTGCTCGCACACTCTTCTATATTAATTGGCTTAGGATCAGAGACACCCTTGAGAAAGGCACATAAAAGAGCAGTACTGCGTCACAATCACGTGGATCAGAAAGTGTACCGCTATCACGTGTTGGGAAGTCGGAAACCATCTGCAGCTTGCAACTAAGGTGGGTACATTCCTGCCTGTTGCAACATGTAGCGATCACCTGCTCTCTCCGCGGTTCGTGCCCACCACCTCCTTTTCTAGAGGCAGCAGTGACTGTACTTTAGTGGACGTCACTGTGTACATACCACAGTGACTTTCCCCTAATCGATACACTCTCTCTTGTCCTGTTCCATCAAACCCCTTGTTCTGCGTGGCCAGTCCCGTTTGACTCCATATTGAGACGGACCGCACAATATGAGGTCCAGCACAGTGTTCTTGACTGGAATACCTTTATCATGGTGCCCGCGCAGTTTATTCCGATTCTATTGAGTTGTTAGTAAGTTATGCCACTTATACATCTCGTCCCTAAGATTTGCACACCAGCATGTCCACTTTTTGCCTTACGTGAACTCTCCCAATCGCATAAGGACACCAAAGATCTCCATTCCTCTTCATTCCCATTCCCAAAGTGTTTTGCAAAGCAGAGAACTTTACCACAACTACAAACTCTATTGACTAGTGGTTAGCTCTCCTCCCCCTCTCTCCCCTCTACTGCCTGCCGCCTGCACTGTAGCATCATGGGGAATGGTCGTTCTCACTAGTATTTTTATAATAAGCATAAGCAGTGGGGGCGCTATCACGATCTCCCCATATCCCATAAATTTACATAACGTTGTTGATACCACAAGATCGATGAGCTCCTCAGTTTCGTGAGCGGTGTTTTTTCCCCATTAAAGGTAAGGATTCGGGATTAGACGGGTGTACTATTGCGCCTGAAAGTGAGTGGAGATGTGAAGCGTAGACCTGTAATGAAAAATGGGAAACAAACCGTCGACAAGGCCGAAAATACATAAAATCTCTTCTCCATTGGCAACAAAGCGAATAGCGCTGATCTGTTGGTGGGCTCATGCTATTGGATGGAGTCATTGCTGCATCTTAGGGCTTCTGCGCCTCGGCCTTGTCAAATCATCCTAAAATAGTATACGTGCGTCCTGCCTGCGCACCGCTTTTCTCAAAGAATAGATTAATTTTCGAAAACAGGCAGACATACTGACATAAATACGAACATACAGACTAAAACAACAAGTTGGCATGATAGAAGATAGATATGATGATGATATGATATCCATGATAGAAGATAACCCCCTTCACATATCATTGCTATGAGAGAAAACATGAAGAGACAACATGAAAGATGTTGAAAATTTCAAAAAAACACGACTTGCTTAGGATGTGTAGCACAAAAACGCCATGTTTTTACAATCAGTATCACAAGAAGAATGATATTTGAGCTACACCAGGCTTTTCAAGCGCATAATTTCTTCAACCGATCAACTGGGGAATAGCTTCTAACAAGTGAGAGACACTAGCTGTGACCGCTTTTGACCAGCGTTTCAGGGACGTCGTAATGGTCTATGGTACCTCGACGACCTCGTTGAGCTCGTACCGTGAACCATGTTTCCGTGGGAAAATCTTCTGATGTCGTCGGTGTAGAAGGCTGTATGTAACCTTTGCGATAGATTAGAATGTGCTCTTAATACGCTCATTTGGTTTGGTTTTGCATCGTGTATTTAAATCTTTAGAATGTAGTGAGGAGTGACTCTTTTTTTGCACTCTCCCTGTATATATACCGCTATACGCATACTTGAGCTCTCACGAGCAACGAGAGCGAGGCGCTAAAATTAGGAAACGAAACTCACATTGAAAGTGGATGCTGTATACGACGGCCAGGTACTTCTTGCTTCCTCTTCAGAAAACCATGGCTAATGGAGCGCACGCCTCTCAAGCAGCTGCAACACAAAGTAGAAGGGAATTTCTGTTTACAGCACAGGTCAGCGATAGTTCCTAGTCCTCATTGCTGTTGCGCTTGCTACCGTTATTGTTTATACATACCTAAGCTCACCGTGAGAGAGAGTGGGTTGCTGCCCCCTGTCTTTGGAATTTTATAGCATAATGCTCCTATACGCTTATACGTGTAATAAATAAACAACGAAATCGAGTGAAGTTTATTAAACATCGCGAAAGAAAAAAGGTAGGTAATAGGTACGAGACTAATGAAATTAGGAGGCATAATATTGGTTGAGCAAGAATTAAGCGCCGTTCTTTTTCAGGCTCACGACATCTAATTTTTTTGCGATCTTTCTCAAAGAGTTGTTGATTAATTATTTGTTGTTGTTTTGTTTGGTTTTGTTAGCGGACTTATACTTGAGAAAACGGTGGATAATTTTCGCTCAACCTAATACTTGCTTTTGCTCGTTCCTCTCATTCGGAGACGATTATGCCATTCCAGCAACAGATGGCAGTTACGGTAACACAAGAAGGAAGGCTAATGGATATCACTGTAACTGCCAGCTTTTGGACGACTTCATTGTAAAACATTTAACGACGGTGCCGACGCTGTTGCCCGTGTATGGGTCTAATTCTCCAGCTTAACTGCTTTGCTTTAAGTTGGCATTCATGTGACCATTTTACCACATGAGTAAAAACAACAAGAAAACTGCAGTAGCGGTCAGAAGTGTTCGTTTAAATGGTTTTTCGTGCTCCTCTATTCTGCCAGAAAAAATCAATGGTGGCCTCGAAAAAATTTTCTTTTGAATATCCTGATTCTTTGAAGACTTGAGGATATAAAAACACTAGAAAACATAGTATATCAATCTTTGGAGGGCGTTGCTCAAGCGAGAAAAATAATGCACTGAAAATCGTTTCGGCGAACACTTTTGACCGCTACTGTAGAACTACAGCAGGACAGAATCAGGAGAAAAATATCGCTCACCGCTAATTCCTGATCTTATTGTAAAAAAAATTATAGAGGGCAACAAAAGAAGCAAAAAGTAGACCTCAATCAAGCAAGTACATAATCTGTTAACGATGCAACAACTGAGGCACTTGAACAGTCTTGTGCTCTAGCCCAGTGATACAGCGCGTGCGGCCTCAGCGTAGATCGCTGGTAGTTTAAATTCGGAATAACCATTCTTGATAGACAAGGGGTGACTTTGGTCGCTCAACACGTTTACGCTGTGGGAAGTCTTAACAATATAGATAAGGACCGAATTTTACTGCCAACATCTACGGCCTATACACTCCTATTTCTTTTCTCCTGAGGTACTTCCTCCCATTCATTTCATTGATCGGCAGACCACGAGCAACAGCTTTCAAGAAACCCTTTTCGGTTTTATCTCACACAGCTTTGACGCACTTGCGCCTACATTCACTCCAAATAGTAAAATCTGTTTTAAATGTGATCACTGATCTTTTTCTGGGGTGAACTCATTTGTCAAGCAAATCAAATTCTGTTCTGTTTTCTTAAAACACATAAGCATACTCAAAGAAACTTGATTATTTCACACCTTCCTAGGATGATCTTTGACATAACAACCACATTTTCCACGAACTTGTACCAGCATCGCTTCAAAGCTCTCGGAGGATTCTTGCGAACTTGCAGTGACTTTATTCTTTTATACAATAACCAGTTTAGCTCCGCACACTACCGCGTGCATGACACGGAAGGGCTCGGTAAAGCTGGCCAGCCGGTGGAGCGTTAGGTTCGCCGCTAAACAATAACTTGCTTCGTGAAATGCGTTAGCTGGCCTTTCCGTAGAATGCCCATTTTTAAGCTCACCGTCTGATACGCGCGGTGGAGTGCGGAGCTAAAGTGGTGTCTGTAAACAACCACCATGCATT